TATCTATCTATCTATCTATCTATCTATCTATCTATCGATCTATCGATCTGTCTATTTGTCTATCTGTCTGTCTATCTCTCTAACTATCTATCTGTCTATCTGGTTTCGTAAAGATGCACTCATCGCTTCCGTCTGCGTCCGCCTTTTCCTCTCTGTCGACACACTCAATTACTGACAATAGCATGCTAGACGCCGAAGCACTTTGTTGGTATTTACATACAAGGCATCCCGTTAGCTCACACTGACTTGATAATGGCATTTTCCCTCTGTCTGAATACACAGTGCCCATTGATTTTTGTTCTGTTTCATTGTGTACTGTCTTGAGTTTGCTTCTGGTCGTCTTAGGTCGACTATAGATTTTTGGAAAAGGTTGCGGATATTAGATTTGAAATCAACAGTGCTCTTTCTTATTGCTATTTGACTTTTTGTCTATTGAGAAATGATTTGAGGCGGACGCAGCACCTTCATTACTAAATATTACTTGGAAGAAGGATCGATCGTCCCTGCTGTAAAAGAGTGCTACATAGGGGCAGTCTTTATGTTCACTGCTAGACACTCTCCATTTTTGGCGGATAATGTGGAGATGTTTCAAAGTCATTGTGCCACCACCCGCCGACCCAGAAAAAGAAAAAAATTGGAAAAGAAAGAAAAATGTGAATAAATAAGTAGAACAGAAAAAAAAAAGTAAGTAATACAAAGATAATATACATTAAACATAATAAATGAATCTGTTGACGAACAACTAATCAAATCTAATTCAAACCAGAATAACAGGGAAAAAGAAACTAAGCACAAAAAAAAAAGATTTTTTGTTCTTCCTGAAACATTTTAATTTTCCTCCCGAAATTTTGCTCAGGTTAGGGAGAGGTGCCTCCTCACCTTAGAAACGTCCCCTTTGTGTCTCATAGAGTGTTACATAGGACAGTTCACAGCAGGGTTGACAATGGTTCCGCTTTGGTGAAAAATGTATGTACAATAGGGACGGGTTATGCAAACTTAGGTGCAATTTTCGATGTCTGGGAATGCGCGCTGGGAAGGGTGTTCAGCGTGTAGGACTGCTGAAAAATGTGTGAGTGAGAATGAAGGGTTAATTATAAGCACACCTCAAAGAGCATCGTGTAAGTGCGGAGGAATCTGATCATCAGCGTGAGGGCTTCAGTTTTTGGTCTCAAACTAGAACTCGTGAAATCTGAGTTGCGGTAGGGGAGTAATAGGAAATAAGCATAAAGTGACATTAACTGGAAGGAGAGCGAGGATGAATGAACGAGTGTATACATACCAGGCCTCATTTTAGATGAGAGTAAATACAAAACGAAAGTTTAAAAAAGAAGCCCGCCCAAGTGTCAATGTTACGCTGCAAGCCAAATATAGGTGTTGTATCAAACATAGATCATACGTGGTCGTATTTTTACTGGGCTGCACTTGACATGCGACGACATGTCTCTCACCTGTGCACAATTACGTCCCACTGAACAAAACTGCAGGGTAGAAATTATTCTTGTCTCAAGTGTAGAGCAAAAGAAAAAAAAAAAGAAAAAAAAAAGAAAAAAAAAGGAGAAGAACATCCAGCTCTGAAACTTTGTTTGAGCCAAGTACATTTACATAAGAACGTAGGAGGGATTTTTTTTTGTACAAAGCCCAAGACGTTGAACGCAAATGCAGAGAATGACGTCATGAAAGGATCTTTTGTGGCTCAGACCCTGCGATGTGCACTGGGCTTCTTCGTTCTGGACCACATCTCTAACTGCTTCTGAAAGATCAACACTAGTGTATCAAAGCAAATAGCCTCACAGACACACTCGCGTGGGCATACACGTGTTTTCGGAATGGTTCAGGTTTGTGACCTGAAAGAGGTTTATTGTAGTTTGCTTATAGTTTTTGCCAGATGTCGCTTTGATGGGCGCTCCGTTAGCTCACATGGTATCATGCTGCGCTGGACAATGGAGCCGATGGCCCTGGTTTGAATCCCAGACAGGGCGTTCTTGAAGTCGGGCCGTTGTGTAGAGTTTTCAAAGCTCTCAGCTCATTTGGCTCGGTCTTATTGGAGACAGACGTAAAAAATCGAAGGTACCACCTATTAGGTAACCTAATAATATTGACAGCGATGTAATACCCATACATTTGACATTTACTTATGCCATTTTGAATAACCAACCTTTGTAAAGTCATTACAGGACCGTTATTTTTATGTTGATATCTGTCTTTGATTACATACTCACAAAGCGTGAAAGTAAATGTGTGTGTGTGTGTTTGTGTACGTGTATGTGTGTGTGTGTGTGTGTGTGTGTGTG